AAAAAAAAAAAAAAAAAAAAAAAAGATTCAGAAGTTTTAACACGATTTTGTAGGAAAGTTCTAAAGTGCTGAACAAAATGACTTAACTTTAGTACCCACTGTCATGTAAAACTTAACTCAAATATCAGACATTTCTGAGCAACATCGAATATGGAATCTATAATTCTGAAGTGTTAATACTTAGTCTTTCATTCAAGGATAGGAGGGCCCTTTCTACACTTTACAAGGATTGCTTAAACCTCAAGGATCTTGCAATGCAAAACATAACAATGATAATACAATGGAAACGATACACATACCCCACTGAGAGAGCACAAATTCATTTCTGCAATGGCAACGGTAATTGATTTTTAAAAAATCACAAATCAAACATTGGTAAATAAGAGAAAACTTTCCAAAGGCTGCATGCCACATAACTAGTTACAAAATACAATGCATGCAGGAAAATAAATTCAACCAAGCATATTTAAATTAAAGACTTGCGTTGAGTCTGTTTCAGCAGCATTGTGGTTATTATTTTTTAAAGTTTCCCTCCAAACACCAGTCCATACTGGCCTGTTTTGCAAACGGGACCCTCCTTAGTCGGCAACCTCACAAAGGTTTGAGTGTCCCTTGTTTTTCGATTTTTATAATGCCAGTACATAAAGTTCACACATACTGCTCTGCTTCCCCATCTTTGGGGACCGGCTTCGTTGTCCCATTCTTGCCTTCTTCGTTTGCTGCTGCTTTTTCTGGGAGAGATGCCAAATCTTTAAAAACGTCTACATAATGGCCGAAGCCAGGGCCCCAGTTCAAAAGGTTGTCCCAGTTGAAATTCCCTGCTTGCTGCCCAAGCCTCAAGGGCAGTGTGTTGTCAGCAACCCCTGGTGCTGCTGCCTGTGTGCCCCCAGGTCCTCCCTCAGCCCTGCGGCCATGGTATCTTCTAGGCTTCAGTCTGGCTCCATAATTATCTTCATCATCTGCGTCAGATTCATTGACTTGAGATAATTTGGGCATCCTGGAAGTATACACCATTGGCTTTTCCCTGTCATATTCCATCTCTGAGCAAGTGAAAGACTCATGTGAGTCACTGTCAGAAGAAGATTCTGGAGCTGGGATGCCATCTGCTGGGTTCCTTGTTCTGGACAACGGCCTTCTGCAGTCCTCTTCTGAAGAAGACCTTCCATGATCTGCACTGCAGATACTTGGGTTTCTAGGGCGAGGGGTGTTTAGCCTCTCCACCTCTTCAATTGACAGTCCTACCGGAGGAGAAGATTCAAGAGGAATCTGCCCAATTGGCTGCTTTAAGCGACTCCCCGGCCTAGAGCCATGCGAGGCCATGGCCTGAGGACTCTTACTTCTCCTTCCCAGCCTCGTGGAGTAGTTGAAAATGCCAGGTTGGCAGGCATCACCATGCATTTCCAAAGTATTTCCATCTCTTATTGGCAGATGCAATTCCCTGGCCGGGCTGTTCCTGTAGAAAGTAGAGGACTTCGAGAACGGGGCTGGGCTGTGGCGAGACAGGGGGTTGGGCGTTGGGCAAGCGGAGTGGCTCAGGGAGCTGGTTCTCAAGCCCTGACCATAGGAAGGCTGGTAAGTCAAACTGCTCGCTCCTAGGGGCATGGGGGACTGCCTCGCAAAACCTAGGGGACTGTGCCTCTGGATAGAAAATTTAGGCGTGTGGCTGCGGAACTGCTTGTAGTGTTGGATGATGTCCGCGTCAGAAGGGGCGATGCTGCTGGCGTTATCGATGTCGTAATGCTCTATCTCTTGCTCTGGAGAAGCCAAGGGGGCGCTGGGGATGGTTTCTGAGCTGTGGGGAAGGTCAGTCTCATCGTAGATGAGGTAGGGGTTCTCCCGCTCAATGATGTCTGGCTTCGGGTTCCCCTCAGGCTGCTTCCTCACAGTCATATCGTCCCCGTAGGGGGGGATATTGTCTGGGTCATCAAAAGCAACATTCTCACTTCCCTTCTTCTTCTTCTCCTTCGGTTTCTTCTCCTCTTTGGGGCTTTTGGTCTTCTTCCCCCTGCACTGGTTACACAGAATCAGGCTGAGGACCAGGAGGGCCAGGACGGTGGCGCAGCTGCCCACGATGGCAGGCACGGCCCACAAAGGCAGGGAGATCTCTTCAGGACCCTGGCTCAGAACACAGACATGGCCTCCAGGACTTCCAGCTTTGCACACTCTCCCCTGAGGACAGAGGACACCGAGGCAGGCCACCACCGTCTCACAGGTCCTCCCAGTGTGCGACTCCGGGCAGTTACAGGTGAAGCCAGAGTGCAGGCCTGGCTCGCAGCTGCCCCCATTCTGGCATGGGTGCGAGGCGCAGTCTCCAGGAGGAACGCACTTGTAGGCGTACCACTGATTAATGCACAGCAAGTCGCCCCAGCAGGGGTTGCTGGCACAAATGTTCGGGCCACGGCAGCCAATCTTCACGGAGGGATCTGTCTTAGAGATGGAGGCCAAGCTATGCTTCCCACTGAAAGGAAGACTTTCGCCACCATACAGCATAGAAGCAATGCAGCCGTCAAAACCTGCGGGGCGAAGAAGGAGCTGTGAGGCATTGTAGAGAAAACCAAGACTTAAAACGCTGCCCTCGGGGACTCTGGTAAAAAGAAGCTGCACAGTCATGTCATGAGAGCTTAGAAACCACAGTCTCAGAGCCATCGCCCAGTCGGAAGTAGGTAACTCTGTGCGTCTTACAACATAGCTTAAGGTATGTAAGATTTCCGTGACAAAAGTATGGAGAGAATTGCTCAGATATTGCTCTTTCTGAAAATTTATGAATGGACTCAGCCTGGATTTTCTTTTTCTCCCTCTTTTTATTTATTTATCTATTTGTCCCATTTTTATAGTCTACAGACCAAGAACTGCCTACATAGAAATACATAGAAATAAAAGGTATTAAGAAATACTTATAAAGAACAACAGCAAAAAGAACAACAACAAAAAAAAATAGCTTTAATCATTAGATATCATGCATTCTCCATAGAGGCGATATTGCTCCCAAGGAGCAGAACATCGCCTCCTCCTGGAGAGCAAAAGAAAAAGCTATTACAGTGCTTTATGGTCCTCTAGAGGGCGGATATCGAGTGTAACTATGGCATGAACACTTCACGAGGTGGGAACGGCAGAAGTTAGAAAAAAACATCTAAAATGGCTCCTTAGAGGCAAATAATTATTATTTTTTTAAAGTTGAGAAACTCTCTGTTGGACTTGGATGTGCTAATATTGTTCATGCTCCTGTATGAGAGCCCAGGAATCTATTTTGACACTAACAAAAGAGTATGATTTACATTGGTTTGTTTCCTACAACATCCAAATGAATTATCATCCATATTCTAAAATAAGCTAAGTACATAAGAACAAGTTATGACCTGGACTTTTACTTTTGTGCCTTAAGTCTATTACTCTCCCCTGCATTTTTATATTTTCCTGGTATCCTTCCACTGTAGTGGTATTTCCATCCCCGATACACTCTTTTTCCATGAGCTTCTGTAACATCTGCTTTTGTTCCTACTTTCCAGATTTTCTTTCTATGACTTAGTCTCTTTTATGTTTCATTTTCCTCTAAACAACCACTGACTCCCAGAGTTGCTTAAGCTAAGGCTCTAGGCTTTCTTTCCACTCCACACCCTCACATTAGGTTATCGCATCCACGTTCCGTACTTCAGTTACCTGCTTGACTCAGCTAACTCCTAGTATGTATTTCCAGCTGGTGTCTACTTCTGATTATAGTCCACCTATCCAAAAGTCTTTCGCAAAGGTGTTCCAAACCCCAAAGGTCCCAAACCACCATCTTGATATTTCCCGTAGACATGCTTCTTTCGGCACTGCTCTGCAGTTTCCTCTTTCTGTGGCACTGCCCTTCTTCTAGTTCACAAGTCAGAAACCTTCCTGAATTTCACCAAAACCATCAACAGTTTGGTTTATTTTAATTCCTAAAGTATTTCTTACCTATCCACTTCTTACTAACTCATTTGCCACCACACTAGTTAAAAACTCACACAATACCTTGCCTAGATCACAGCAATATCATCCCAGCTAATTTATGGAAGTGCACTCCTGTCCTCCTCCAATGCATTCTCCATGTTGTAACCTGAAAGATATTTAATATCACTGCATATCTAATCTTGACACTCCTAAGAGAACTTTTTTAGTGACTTCCCATTGTCCTAAGAGTAAGACCAAAAATGTGACATGGTCTGGAAGGCCCTGCTTCATTCTCCAACTTCATCCTTTACCTGTGACATCAGTCTCCAATATGCCAATAGGCCAGCTTCTGTGATCTTGACTTAATCTACTTTTTGTTAAGGTTTCTATCAATATCAATTAAGCTTTCATACTCTCCCATCTTCATTTTTATAGTTCAGATTGAAGTGCCAATGTCAATTTCCCAGGCAAGTTTCCCTTTTTTCCTTTTTTGGAAATCTCTTAGAATTCTATATTCCTTCTTCACATTTATTATATTCTAAAATAATATATTTACTTGTATAATGACTTCATTGATTTTCATCTTCCTTACTTGGCCATGTGTCATGTGAAGAGAGTAGCTATTTATTTAGTCCACCATTGTACTCCCAGTGCCAAGTACGGGGCTCAGTAAAATATCTGTCATGTGAGTGAACAAATGAATGAGTAAGTGAATTAATGAATAAATAAATGTTTGGTGGACAAGGGAAGCACCGTGGGCTGAATTATGAATTTGGTAGAGCAAGTGCAAATGGCTAAAGCAAGTGACGGCCAATCATATAGGCTTTCTAAGGATAGTTATGATAGTCTTAGAATCTGCATAATGGATATTTTCAGCAGTCCAACTACTTTGATGGGAACAATATTACCTTTCCTTTGCTCAACACAAGCATTTACCTGTTTGAGAATCTCGATGAGCTTGATTAGGTGGAATTCCTCCAAGAGATATAGTGAGCACATCGAGGCCACCAAAATCCTGGGTAGGGTGGATGATATCTCTGTTATATATTCTGTCGATGGACAGTACTGTGGCTGTTCCATTTTTTCCAATTAGAAGAGTATGCCAGTGACCATCGGCAACATACACTTCAGGAATATTTCTCTCCACTTTCCCAGCAATTCCTGCATCTGATGTAAAATGGACTTTGCCATTTTTAATCTGTAAGATGTATTAAAAAGAATGTACAATTAAACTATGATGTGCTTGAATAAAAACAGAATCAAAATAAAATGAAACCTTAAAATACTGATCAATTTAAAGCCAATAGACTAGCTGAAGAGTCTGGCTGTATCAGAGTACACTTAACCCATACTGCTTCTACAAATTTAGGTAACATATACCTTCACATTCAATTGTTTCAATAGTTTGCAAGGTGTTATTATATTCATACCTAATTTTTCAAGATGCATAAAATTATCTTCCAGAATCCGACTGAGATAATAATGGAGTGAAAAACCATTTTAAGTAAAGTACACCTTTTTTTTAATTACTTCTAATTTAATCACAATGGCAAGCGTAAAAAAAGAAAAAATCTGTCAGTTTAGTAAATGGTCCAGAGTGATCAAAAAAGGTTAAAACTACTTGCAAAAAGAAACATCAATGCTGAGGTAAAAATGAAGCATAGTTGGGAAAATCGACAAAAAGAAATTCTTTCATCTGTCATCTCTAACGCACTGGAATTTTAGAAGAAAGCATGTCTATTTTTTATATCATTTATTGAGATGAAAACTATGATGAATAATGAGTGAGTTCTTAATAATGAGGTGTCTGGGCAGGTCTTCACTTTGGCTGCCTTTTATAATTTATCTAAGGGGTATTTAGTTTCTTTGACTTTGCCCAGGAGAACACTGGGTAACAGGATGCTCCTACTCCCGTTTCCAGCTACCAAGTTTCCAGTATTCTGAGTACTTTAGAAAATGAAATAATTTATGAGGCAAGATGAACATTTGGTTCAGAGAGCATAATCCCATCACGCTGCCAGACAGAGCTGGTGCCTGGGCCGGGGGATGAAGTGACACTGTGTATCAAGTGACAGGGATGAAAGGAGGGATAGGTTATTTTGTCACTCGGATCAAATGCTATTTCTACATGCAACCAACACAGCTGGTAGAACTAAAAATTAGTTCATTTTTGCTTTGTGGAAAATATGCCTAACACATTTACATACGTTATTCCCATTGTACTATTTTATTAAAGTGGCCTTTCTAGATAATAATATATATTCAGTACCAAACTCAGATGGGAAAAGAAAAGAAAGTTGTGGTTAAATGACAATAACACTTCACCAAATGGGCAATGTCTCATGAAACACACAGTAAAAACAGCAACCCCTCTTTGGGTAGAGCCAGAGTCCTTTTGGAAAGAATTCTTGGGAAGAGCCTTCTCCCAGCTCTGCGTTTCCCTCCTACCTGATCAAACCGTGGCATCCCTTTTATTCATCAGCTCTGATAAGAGAGTCTTTAGAATACACCATGGAGTCTGGTGAATGAGAACACAAGTTCCCATTGTAACATTTCTAATGTTTTGCTTCTCCCCAATAACACTCTCCCGGGCTCCTATATCCTTCCTAACTTAGAAAACATCATGCTCATTTTTATGCTAATTTTTTGCTTGGTTTGATTTACCCACAGATTTATTTATTTTATTTACTTTTTAATCTAAAGCTCTGAGTCCCTCATCCCAACCCTGTACACTACACTTGGCCTCACCCAAAAACAAAAACAAAAAAACCATATGCCAAAACAATAGAATTGATTTGGAACAAACATAAAGTCCATCATCTGACAGTATCACAGAACTCCACATATGGAGATACACAATTGCAGTAAAAGAAGGGAGATTTGTGAAATACTTTAAATATACCGTCAACGCAATTATACACAAGTATGCTTCCTTCTGTTTTTCTATCTCAAATTCTCTCTACCTAACTTTTTTTATCTGAACAGATTCTATCTATTCTACATATTCTCCTCTCTCCTCACATTGCTATTGCTACCCACTCCTGATACTCTCCTCTCAAACCATTTGAAATCCCATTTACCCAACTCTCTCTCTCTTTTTTTTTTTTAAATATCATCTAGCTGCCTTTGTGTGTGAGAGAGAGGGAGAAGGGAGAGGTGGATTGATGAAGGGAGGAAGGAAGGAAGGAAGGAAGGAAGGAAGGAAGGAAGAGAAAGAAAGAGAAAGGGAGAGAAAGAATGAAAGGGAGAGAAAGAGAGAAAGAAAAAGAGAAAAAAAGAGAGAAAGAAAGAAACTGTCAGAAAATGAGTCAAAAGAAAGAAAGAAGAAAACCAGGGGCCTTAGTCACCGATAAGCTAAATGAAAAGTAACAGTCCCTCCTGACTAGCTTCCTAGCCTGTATAAGTAGACCGTATTCCTGTCATCCAAATAACTTGCCTGCTTACTGACAACAGCCATTCTCTTCTTGTCTATTTTGTTCTCCTTATTCACTGTTTTTTTAATCTACTTATTTTACCTGCCAAGCCCCTTAATCTCTAAAAAGCTACTTTTCAAAATATTCATACCAAAAAAATGTGCATTTTGGTCTGCATTAGTCATTATTTTTATTCATTAGCATTTACTTTTCCTTCAGAAAAAAAAAAAATCTCTTTCTAAGTGCTTGCTACCAATGTAAGAAAGTCTGGAGAGTTGCATGCTGCTGTCCTGTTGGAAATGCAAGATTTTATGGTGACAAAAATGGATCCTGACATTCAGCTTCTTCCTTAAGGAAAAAAAAAAAAAAAAGTTCTGTCTCTAATTTCTTCAACCACATTGTATTTTGTATCTCTTGGCTTAAAGAGATAATGTAAAGAAATATTTCATATGTCATTTAAATGGCACGAGGGCTTGGAAAGCAGCTTAACAGATAATGCACAGACCTCAATGTCAAAGCCTCTCAACGCATATAAAAAAAGTGTTTCTCATAGACTGTGAAGGTTTACTTCTTTCTGGACTTCATTACTTTCTTAGGTTCTGATACACTTTCCAGTGCAAATTATAAACACCAAATAATAATAGAATACAATGGGCTTTGTTTTGCAGTAGCTTTATTAATTCTGAACTGGGCTCTTTGTTTCAATAATGGAGGTAAAGTTATAACCTGAAGATGTTCTTTTGTACTGGATTAGAGCAGAGTTCCTCAACCTCATTACTCTTGACATTTTGGACTCCATATTTCTTTGCTGTGGGGTGCTGTGTTGTGCAACGTAGGATGTTTAGTGACATGCCTGACTTTTACCTACTAGATGCTGTTAGCACCCCTTCCCCACTGTGACAATAAAAAATACCTCCAGATTGAAAAAGAAGGAAAAAAAAAGTTTTTAGCATTTTAATAAAACATTTCATCAAGAAAAAATTGCCTCAGGACATTGTCACATGTCCCCTGGGGTGGGGGAGGGATAAACATCAACCTCAGTCAAGAATGACCTAACTATGAGGATTGTGAGAATTTTAGAAAGATTTTTTTGTACTACTTATTTTTTTTAAAGGTTTTATTTATTCATTTGAGACAGAGAGAATGAGAGAGAGAGAGAGAGCACATGAGAGGGGGGAGGGTCAGAGGGAGAAGCAGGCTCCTCGCTGAGCAGGGAGCCCGATGTGGGACTCGATCCAGGGACTCCAGGATCATGACCTGAGCCGAAGGCAGTCGCTTAACCAACTGAGCCACCCAGGCGCCCCTGTTTTTGTACTACTTATTAAAGATATGTGCATGCACCATAACAACCAGAGTTGACTTGGATGGAGAGAAATTTTAAGAATAAAGAGGTTGAAGTTTAGAGGTGAACATCTGTTTTTATTTTTAGTATTTTATGTGAATTAAACCTAGTAATTTGCTATGTATATTGCCTTTTGTCTTCATGAACTAAGCTCCTAGTAATTTTCAAAACATTGATTTATAGGTGAAAATAATATAGGAAATATGGGTTTATGTTCTTCAGAATTTACCAAAATCCATATAAAAATTATGAGTAGTATTATAATATCAAAGTGATATCAATAGAAATCAGTCAAGGTAACTAAACTAAAGAAACTGATGATTTAAAAGATGAAGTCTTATTGGTGGGAAAGAAAGCAGACCGATAGAAATTAAGAAAGCTAAGAGCTGAAGGAAAATGCATCTCTAAGGAAATTATTCACCAGTTTAGCATTTCATTTATAGTGAAAATATTATGTAAAAGTCTAATGATAAATCAATACATTGTTCTCTTTAAAAATAATTTATTTAGAAATTATTTGGAGAACTCAGCTGTGATTTAACTTACAATAATTCCAAAGATAGTGAATTGGCTATATGCTCCAGAATAAAGCCAGATAATTTAAAAATGTTTTTCCTTATTCTAGTCCCACCAATTAATATAAGCATATTAGTGTTTGGAATAATTTTTAGAGACTTTTTTTTTTTTAAATCTCGAAGACACATTATCTTTTTGTTTTACTTTGTTTAAAAGTAGAGAAATAAAAGCAATATAAATTTTTATTTGACAAAACAGATTGCAACAAAGTCTTTCTATGCTGGCCTGCCTAGCAGTGTTAGCAGTGGTCTTTACTCGAAACCAAGACAAAAGTGTTTAGAAACCAAACCCTTCAGATCTTTGTTACTCTGGCCAATGCCTGGGGAATAGTTAAGATAGATGATATTGGAATCGTGCCCAGCATTAGTCGGAACTCTAATGGGTTGTAAAGAAAAGGACAGAAATTATGGGCGAAGTGATTTAAACCATGACACAGCAGGCGGTCTAATCAAATGAAGTCACCATTAGCTTTTATCTTACCTTCACAGTAGTGTAATTGCTGCTTTCTTGGATATGGATTAAAATGCCATTCTCGCTTCTTGTTCTGAATTTTATTTCCAGACTGTTCACACCAAAAGGCTCCAACATGGCACCTCGTATGCTCTGTCTTAACAAATATTCCCGCTTCTCATTCTGACTCATGTGGTAATCCAAGCGCCCTTTGCCTTCTAATGATAAGGCAGTGTCAGGAGTAATAGCTGGAAGCCAATGAAGAAAGGGAAAAATGAATGTGTCCATTTGGCTTCTTAAATAGTTTTTAGAGGTGACAAAAACTATAAAAAATATTTTGGAATCAATGTTACCCAATCTTCCCCTTGAAAAAAATTATTTCCACTTGTGAATTATTGTGTAAGTTAATTTCAAACACTTAAATCCAATTCAGAAGCATTAATCATTTGGGAAATATTCATTAACATATTTGATATATGATATAAGTCATGAATACCCATAGAGATACCACCTGTTAAAAATATGGAATTGAAAAATGTGTTTATAATAAGTTTTACTGTGCTTCCAAAATTCACGAGTGAATATACGTTTTCACAGTTAAATGATTTATAATCTTAAGCCTCTAGCACATTACAAATTTGGACAAAGAAGTGCACAATCAAATATTTATATTTGTAGCAACTTTATTAGTAGTAATAATCATATGATCACATAGAATTTAGTTTATCATTACATGTAATTGTCATGTATAATTATAATTTATCATAATGTGATAAAATGTCCACACTACTGAACTTTAGAAGACAGTGAATATAGCTAAGGAAAGGACATAAAGCAAATGAACTCAAAAGGGTTTCAGCATTGAATAGTATACTTATAAAGGTAAATTTTATAGTATGTGAGTTCTATCTCAATTTAAAAAAAGGACCTCAGGCATTTCTCAAGCCAATGACTCATTTCATATTCCAGACATAATTGGGTTCCTACTTACTAAAATACTCACTATGATAAAAAAATATTATGTGACAACATATTTTTTTATGTTTTGATTTTATCCTTAAAATTAAACATAATTGTACCTTCTTCTAGTAAGATCTTTTCAACTACATTATATCCTTAATGTGATCATGAATTTCTATTCATTCTCATACTTTAATAGAATCAAGACTTCTTAGGAAGTGGTCAAATAACTGCAATGACTTTAAGTAGTAATCACATATTTGAAAATAAAGCAAATTTTATAAAAGAAACCCCATTAGGATTAGTGGGATACACAGCTTAAAATTAGAGAATGCCATGTTCGAAAGATGGCTTGAACACCACTAATGTCTTATTAAAAATAGTAGCATTTAAAAGCAAATAACAATAAAAAGATTTAAAAAGACTCAAAACCAATTCTAATAATTATAAACTAAAATGCAAGTATTGGAGCGTCCAGGTAGTTCAGTCCGTTAAGTGTCCGACTCTTTTTTTTTTTAATTTTTATTTATTTATTTGAGAGGAGAGAGAAAGCACGAGGAGGAGGAAGGTCAGAGGGAGAAGCAGGGAGAGGGTCAGAGGGTGCAGACTCCCTGCTGAGCACAGAGCCCGATGCTGGACTCGATCCAGGGACTCAATCCTGGGACTCCGGGATCATAACCTGAGCCGAAGGCAGACTCTTAACCAACTGAGCCACCCAGGCACCCAAGTATCTGGCTCTTGATTTTGGGTCAAGTTATGACCTCAGGGTCATGAAACAGAGTCCTGCGATGGGCTCTGTTCCGAACGGGGAGTCTGCTTGAGATTCTCTCTCTCCCTTTGCCTCTGCCCCTCCTCTCTCTCTCTCTCTCTCAAAATAAATGAATAAAATCTTAAAAAAATAAATAAAATAAAATGCAAGTATCACCCTTAATTATAATAGATTACACTGACAATGTATGATGTTCGAACTCAGTATCCAGTCATTTAGTACTTACACTTTTCTACCACATAAGAAATATTTACTGGAGAAATATCCCCTACAGGCAGATAATACTAAGCCAAAACCTGGGTTAGCCCTCGACCTTGTAAATTGTCTAACATTCCCATCAATTAGGTTCACTATGGTAATAGATTCATAAAATGGAAATTAAAAATTTAGGTAAATAATTCTAAAAGAATATCATTCTTCTTCAAGTTAAAAAATAAGTGGAAAATGTCACTATATTTTTACCAATTATTCCCATTTAATATTTTCAGCATTTAGAATGAAAACAATTCTTTGAATACAATTACATATTTAAGAGCATATATTTATACTTTTCATGATTATTATAATATCCTGCAAAAGATAAAACAGCTTGCGTACATTTTTCACAGTATTTCCCAGTTAGTCCTTCTTTGCAATGACACAGCTGCCATGACCAGTAGTCCATACACATGCCACCATGTTGGCAGGGACTGTGAGTGCAAGCTCCTTCCAGCCGAGGACATCTAAAAGGAAATCGTAATAAAGACTCGTAAGGCACAAAATAAAGTGTGTGAGGGCATTCGTTAAAATCAGATATAAACTTTTATTAACTTGCTGAGTTTCATGCACTCACTTCTTTGAAACTCAAGTTACAACTACATTTGGAGCATCTCCTGAAATTAGGAGCTGTCCTGTAACACATGTTCTGCCTCATTCACAAAGGAGAAAATTAGACAAAATGACATCTTACACAATACATAAAAAGAGGTGATAATTTCTTCTTTGAATGAATTCTTGTTGGAGTAGGACATCTTTGGTTAATGTTACTAAGGGCCACATATTTATTTGCCTACACATCTCCTCCCAGACAACTCATTCAACTGACGCTAATTGAATGCTTACTGTATGCCAATTATAAGCATACTATTCTAAGCATGGGGGTAAAGTGATGAAAAAATGCATATGTTCATGGAGTATTTATTTTTCCTTGTGGAGGATACAGTCAAAAAACAAAATAAAACAAAAATTAGATAAACGTGGTGTATGTTAGAATGAAGAAAGTTCTATGGGAAAATTAAGATAGACAGAGTATTGGGAGCTTTTTGGGGGTGGGAGCGGTGTTGCTGGATCCTCTAGATTCATCAGTGAAGGAAGGACCCATCTTTGTAAAGACCTAAACAAATTGAAAGAGCAAAGCATATTTGGTAGAAGATCATTCCAGGCAGAGGAAACAGAAAGTAAGAAAGTCTTGAAGTGAAAGTATACCTACTATGTTTGAGAAACACTGAGGGGCCCAATAAATAAAATATTTTATAATTAATCAAATTATTGCTTGTTAAAGATGTATCAAGTTTTTGAAAATATACACGTTTGTATCTAAAACTATTTAATGTCAAATTGTTTTTGGCATACATTATCACTAACATTTATATATTATTATTATATGCCAGGTTCTTTTCTGTGAGATTTACTCTACTTAAGTCATTATAAACTTCCCAACAACTACTTAAGGTAACGTGAAGCATATGCAAGCATACGTGCATACGTAGTTTTTCTTAGACTCCAGAAAACAAGAGTTAACTCTCTAACTAAATATCACATTTTATGCCAAACAAAATTTCGCAACTATAAATAAATATTTAAAATTCAAAACAATGTAAAACATTTGATGCTTTTAGGGCTTTAGGCACAATAATCTCATCTTTGGATGCTCAATTATGAAAATTTTGTGCATTTTTTCTTTAAAATAGTAAGAAATAAAATTGCCATACTGATCTAGGATGCCTTGTGCGGCCAAAGCTTGGCTGGGTTCCAGAGGCCTTCCATTGACTGCAAATTCCATTATACACCCAACAAAATCATGGCTTTCCACATGTCCTCTCCTCTGAAGGATCGGTTCTAGCGATCTGATACCTCCAACTGTGACTCGATTTGGCTGAACATCAAGAGTCCTACATAAGAAAGCAAAGATAAGTATATTAGTTCCAACATGATAGATTTCAGTAGAATGTTTAGTTTTAAAAACAGCGAACATAACTTTTTCTGGCATGTGTTATAGCGTGGTAAATTTGAAGGAAAATATTTCCTATTGGGGCGCCTGGGTGGTTCAGTGGGTTAAGCGGCTGCCTTCAGCTCAGGTCATGATCCCAGGGTCCTGGGATCGAGCCCCGTGTCGGACTCCCTGCTCAGTGGAGAGTCTCCTTCTCCCTCTCCCTCTGCCTGCCTCTCTGCCTACTTGTGCTCTCTCTCTATCTCTCTGTCAAATAAATAAATAAAATCTTTAAAAAAAATAAAAATTAATTAATTAATTAAAAAAATATTTCCTATTGGTGCATATCCTCTAACAGATTTCTACAGGATTATTAGGCTTTCAAGGTATGAAAAATAATAAAACTTATGGAAATGACATTTTCAGTTAGTCAAGTGGGATGTATAAAACAATGTTGAATTTGCAAGAGGAAGCATATTATCAGAAGGAAGATACAGTGCAGTAGAAATAGTGACAACTCTATTATTAATGTTAGTTTATATTTTTTCTTCATTACAAGATGATAACGATGTCAATAAGTTAATTAATACCATGGATGATATGTCGATATTTATTTTTCTCTGTTGCTATTTCTTTTAAAATCACTTATGTTTTAGATGACATAATGCTGTGTTTCAGCTTGAGGTGCCATTGAAAAATATCTGTGGATAATTGTCACATACAACTTTCAGAGAAGGTATTTAAAACGAGTGGGGTCCTTAGCCTAACCTTGCAGGACCCAAGTCACATGCAACGATTTCATGAATCATCTCAAAGAGTACAGGCTACGTTAGTCTTTCCTTCCTCTAGCTTTATACTCATCTCTACCGCTTCATTTCACACCATTTTTACATATTCTGTACACAAGTTATTAACTTTTTATTTTACAGCATGAAAATTCCTTTGGAGAGGATAAACTATTGTAAACTTTTATAACACTTAGCATAATACAATTATCTTTAAA